GGGGTCTGTAACCAGCCCCCTGTCAATGGGGGTCTGTAACCAGCCCCCTGTCAATGGGGGTCTGTAACCAGCCCCCTGTCAATGGGGGTCTGTAACCAGCCCCCTGTCAATGGGGGTCTGTAACCAGCCCCCTGTCAATGGGGGTCTGTAACCAGCCCCCTGTCAATGGGGGTCTGTAACCAGCCCCCTGTCAATGGGGGTCTGTAACCAGCCCCCTGTCAATGGGGGTCTGTAACCAGCCCCCTGTCAATGGGGGTCTGTAACCAGCCCCCTGTCAATGGGGGTCTGTAACCAGCCCCGTCTCAATGGGGGTCTGTAACCAGCCCCCACTAAAACAGGGTCTGTAACCAGCCCCCACTAAAACAGGGTCTGTAACCAGCCCCCTGTCAATGGGGGTCTGTAACCAGCCCCGTCTCAATGGGAGTGTGGAACCAGCCCCGTCTCAATGGGAGTGTGGAACCAGCCCCTTCTCAATGGGAGTGTGGAACTAGCCCTGTCTCAATGGGGGTCTGAAACCAGCCTCAGCTCAATGGGGGTCTGTAACCAGCCCCCACTAAAACAGGGTCTGTAACCAGCCCCCTGTCAATGGGGGTCTGTAACCAGTCCCTTCTCAAAGGGAGTCTGTAACTAGTAAACAAAAAAAAAAAAAAAAAAAATTCAAAAGAATTCTGCTGGATCAATCAAATTTTGAAACTCTATTTTCAATCCAACATCCTTCTAATGCGCAATATGTCACATTGACTCTCAGGTACCATCAGTAGATGCAATGGTGAATCCATCTCCACACGACACTTTAGTCACTTGCTTTCCTCCAAGTGCACCAACCAATACATTGATGCCATCTCTCTTCTTGTAGTCTCCCACTCCAAGCTGTCCATACTTATTGCAGCCAAATGTTAATAGGCGACCTCGCTCTGAGTGAATAAGAACAAATTAACATTGAGACCTGTGCAATATCCAACACCTACCAACCCATGATATAAGGAGTACAACATCCAACCCTTATCAACACATGATACAAGGGATATAACATCCAACCCTGACCGAACACAAGATAGAAAGGGTACAAAAATTTAACCCCGACTGTCAAGGGATGTGCACAGTACTTATGAGAGGGGATAGGGTAGGGAGTAACTGTGTAGAAATAGCAAAGTGTTGGTGAGGGGAGAGTTATGGGGATATAACTAAATTCCCCTGGAGTTCTTAAGCCCCTTCCATTACTGACATGATAATCTGGCATGACAGCAGTGCTCTACAACGATCACACTGTGATACCTGTGTCATTCCTGTGACATAAATATCAGACATGGGTCATGTAGTATTGAAGAATTCAATGAACTCTAATACAGCACCTTGTACCAACATATGCTCACTACAATCACAGGTACTTGAGAGACTGGGCTCAAGCTCATCAATTCAAATGTATTGTCATACACTTCCATCAGAGTGTCGTGCTGCAAGGGGACAGAGCCCAGTAAGATGGAGACAAGGGAGAGTTATACCAGAAGATCACAGGCCATGGCAGAATGATGACATCATGAGCATGCCTTTAAAGATATATCGCATATCCGCTGAGAGACAGAACACAACATTGCCCTTTTGCTGAAGAACAGAAATCCCAAACATATTGTACAAAGACATTATACAGTCATTTAAAAACAAAATTTACAAATTTAATCAAACTTTGCAATAGCACTTTGGAGATCTGACAACTTGTCTCAATCTGGTGACTGTTTATCCATCTGGACAGGGTACACGTTACTCTTGATTGTTCTCGGCTGACAATTTAGTTGTCTTGTTGCTGTCACTCGGCATCATCACACAATCATCATCATCATCATCATCATCATGATCATGAGTTTTCTTCCTCAGTCTCTGTATCATATGTTGTTCTAAGCAGGCTTCTGATATAGCACGACATAGCACACCATGATCAGGAATGTCAACCTGGGACCACTACCTACACTCCTCTCATTATTCATGCTGCTGCATGGACCCCCAAGGTCTGGGTGTGGTTGGCAGTGACCTCTGGAACTCGATGTCAACGTATCCTGACACAGGCTGGCAGGTACGGACTGTCCAAGCAGCTGCATAGACACTCAGGCTAGAGGGAAGATTGCACGTCATAGAAACCTTGGCTGAAATGCAGGAATTGTGACTGGACTTCTGACTCACACTGTCAAGTCCCTTTCATTCTCCTCTGTCACTGAAGAAGTGTCCCATAACTCAAAATAGCAGCAACAACTGGCGTTAGTCAAGGTTATTTGCACTTTTCTTCCAAGTGTAGGTTGTACTGGGGATAGCAGTCCCTTCTCCATAAAAATCTAGCAGCATAATATGAAAACCTCGTTTTGTTGCTCAACACTTGACTGTGTAGTTGAAGGTATGTTCTGTTTGAGTGTGGGTAGTGGGATGACAATGTGAAATACTCCCCACTTAGCACACATCTTGGAATGGCTTTACAGTGAACTCCAATGCATTGTCAGATATTACCTGCTCCCATATGCTGAATATGTTGAAGATTGCAGTCATTGTTTCGGGGATGATTGCAAGCATTGTGTTACAAGTCATCAAACAATGTGAAATTTAGAGAAATAATCCAGTACAAGGATGCAATTCTCCCATCGCATTGTGAACAATTCTGTTAGTATTTTGTCCAAGAAGTGGAAGGAACATGGTGTGGATGTACAGGCTCTCTCTGCTGCTGGGATCGGTACGTTTGGCATGTCTCACGTGCATTCATGAGTCTCTGGATATTCTGACTCTTCCCTAGCCAGCACATATATTCACATGCCACCCATCTTATTCAGTACCCATTTGTCCTTCATGTAACATGAACATAATACCTTAGTGTCAAAAACGGAAATTGCTAGAAAAGTACAGGTCTGGTAGCATTTGTGAAGAAAAATCAGAGTCCGGTGACCCTTCCTCAGAACTTCTGCAGTTCTGAGGAAGGGTCACTGGACCCACAACATTAACTCTGATTTTTCTTCACAGATGCTGTCAGGCCTGCTGAACTTTTCCAGCAACTTCTGTTTTTGATCCTGATTAACAGCATCCGCAGGTCTCTCAGTTTTTATTTAATATCTTAGTGTAGTGCTTTTGGTATTAGGTCGTGTTTGCCCTTACATGACTGGCCATGGTATATCAAGATTGTCTCTGAATTGTCAAAAGAGGGAATGTTCTCAGGAACTTCCTTCATACTGTCAGGTCATCCTTGGTTAACAGTCTTTTGCAACATCTTTGGTAATTGCTAAATATAACGGTTCACACTGTCCTGGTGCAAAGTGCAACAAATCCATCTTGAGAATGTCTTCAATCTCGCAGTATAGAGATGTAGAGAGGAGAAACATGATAAGTAACCTGCTCGGTGTGTCTTGAACATGATCATTCTGGTCCCTGGCTTGTGTTTTATTTCAAAGTCATTTCTGCCTCATTCATTCATGGGATGTTATGCTGGCTGGACAGTGTTTATTGTCCGTCCCTACGTGCCTCTTGAGAAGGTGGTGGTGAGATGCCTTCTTGAACCGCTGCAGTCTATGTGCTGTAGGTAGGCCCACAATGCCGTTAGGGAGGGAATTCCAGAATCTTGAGCCAGTGACTGTGAAGGAATGGTGATATATTTCCAAGTCAGGATGGTGAGTGGCTTGGAGGGGAACTTGCAGGGGGTGGTGTTCCCATGTATCTGCTGCCCTTGTTCTTCTAGATGGAAGTGGTCGTGGGTTTGGAAGGTGCTGTCTGAGGATCTTTGGTGAATTTCTGCAATGCATCTTGTAGATGGTACACACTGCTGCTACTGAGCGTCAGCGTTGGAGGGAGTGGATATTTGTTGGCTGTGGTGCCAATCAAGCTGGTTGCTTTGTCCTGGATGGTGTCAAGCTTAAATGTTGCTGGAGCTGCACCCATCCAGGCAAGTGGAGTGTATTCTACCACACTCCTGACTTGTGCCTTGTAGATGGTGGCTGGGGTTTGGTGAGTCAGGAGAGTTACTCACTGCAGTATTCCCAGCCTCTGACCCACTCTTGTAGCCAATGTGTTTATGTGGCATGTCCAGTTGCATTTCTGATCAATGGTAACCTGCAGACGTTGACAGTGGGGGATTCAATGATGGTGACACCAATGAATTTCAACGGGTGGTGATTAGATTGCCTGTTATTGGAGATGGCCATTTCCGAGTGTTCGTGTAAATGTTACTTGCCACTTATCAGACTAAACCTGGATATTGTCCGATCTTGTTGCAGTTGAACATGGACTGCTTCAATATCTGAGGAGTTGAGAATAATGCTCAACATTGTTTGCAATGATTGAACATCCCGACTTCTGACCTTATGATAGAGGGAAGGTCATTGATGAAGCAGCTGAAGATGGGCTTAGGACTTTACCCTAAGGAACTCCTGCAGAGATGTCCTGGAGCTGAGATGACTGACCTCCATCAATCACAATCATCTTCCTACATGTCAGGTATGACTCCAACCACCGGAGAGTTTGCCCCTGATACCCATTGGTTCCAGTTTTGTTAAGGCTCCTTGATGCCACACTTGGTTGAATGTGGCCTTGATGTTAAGGGCTGTCACTCTCACCTCACCTCTGGAATTCAGCTCCTTTCACCATGTTTGAACCGAGGCTGTAATGAGGTCAGGAGCTGAGTCGCCCTGGGGGAACCCAAACTGGGCGTCACTGAGCAGGTTATTGTTGAACAGGTGCTGCTAACATAACACTGTTGTTGACACCTTTCATCATTTTACTGATGATTGATAGTAGACTGATGGGGCGGTAACTGGTTGCGTTGGATTTGTCCTACATTTTGTGTACAGGACATACCTAGGCAATTTTCCACATTATCGAGAAGATGCCAGTGTTGTAACTGTACTGGAACAGCTTGACTAGGGGAGTGGCACTGGAGCACAAATCTTCAGTACTACTGGAATGTTGTCAGGCCCATATCCTTTGTACTCTCCAGTGCCTCCAACCATTCCTTGATATCACGTGGAGTGAACTGAATTGGCTGAAGACTGGTACCTGTAATGCTGGGGACCACTGGAGGATGTCACTGGAGTGGATCATCCACTCAGCACTTCTACCTGAAGATTGCTTCAAAAGCTTCAGCCTTATCTTTTGCACTCATGTGTTCAGCTTTTCCATCATTGAGGATGGGGATATTTGTGGAACTTCCTCTTCCACCGAGTTGTTTGTAATTGTCCACTATCATTCACGAGTGGATATGATAGGGCTTCAGAGTTTAGATCTGAACCATCGGATGTGGAATCACTTAGCTCTGTCTATCACTTGCTGCTTATGCTATTTGGTGTGCAAGTAGCTGTTCTGTTTAGTAGCTTCACCAGTTGACACCTCATTTTCAGGTATGCCTAGTGCTGCTTTTGGCATGCCCTCATGCATTCTTCATTGAACCAGGGTTAATCCCCTGGCTTGTTGGTAATGGTTGAGTAGGCAATATGCTGGATCATGGAGTGTATTTTCAATGTGAAGGTGGAACTTTGTCTCAACAAGGTGGTCACCCTTACTGATACCGCCATGAACAGATGCATCTGCAGCCAGCAAACTGGTGAGGATGAGGTCAAGTATGTTTTTCTCTCTTGTTGGTTCCCTCACCATCTGCCACAGAACCAGTCTAGCAGTTATACCCCTTAGGACCCGACCAGCTCAAACAGTCGTGCTGCTGTCGAGCCACTCTTGGTGGTGGACATTGAAATCCCCCACAGAGCACATTTTGCACCCGTGCCACACTCAGTGCTTCCTCCAAGTGTTGTTCAACATGGAGGAATACTGAATCATCATCTCAGTGAGGATGGGACATGTTAACCAGCAGGGGATTTCCTCGTCTATATTTAATCTGAAGTAATTGACCTCATGGGATCCAGAGTCAACGTTGAGGGCTCCCAGGGCGACTCCATCCTGACTATATAGTACAGTGCTGCCACCTTTCATGTGCAGGCGAGGGCCTAGTAGTATTTTCATTGGACTATTAATCTAGAGCTCCAGTTAATGTTCTGGAGAGCCAGGTTCAAATCCCGCAACAGCAGGTGGCGCAAATCGAAATCAATAAAAATGTAGAATTAAGAGTCTCAGGATGACCTGGCTCCAAAACATTCGGGATGAAATTCGTATTTTATGTGGACAACTTTTAAGTGACACGTTGAGGTGCCGTGGATCAACACCTACTCTTTTGGTGCCATTTTTATTTCCAATATGATGAAGCTACACCAATCTGTGTGGTAATCAACCTTTCGAATGATACCATTTTACTCCATCTCATTCATCTTCACTTGAAGCTTCTCCTGAATGTGCAAATTGCATTTCCTTGGAGCACTGACATGTAGGGTTGCTTCATCCTTGATACGCAATGGCATGTGACTCTTAAAATTACTGATCGTGTCAAAGTAGTGCGGATATGGCTGTTTGTGAAGGTTGACATGATTCGACTGCTCTGTTCTAGCAGTGTTGTGGCTTTAATCTCATGAATGGCTATGATGCTGTGATCAGTGCATACCAGTAATCCTGTCACTGTTGGACCATTTGTATTTCTCAGGTAGAAGGGAATCCAAGCTGTACTTGCTTATTGACACTGCAGTGTGATTTACCACTGTCTAGATCTGAAGATCTGTTCTATGATGAGAGTTTTTTTTTGTAGGTTGCACGTTAAATGCCACTTGTTGCAGTACATGCCTGTTAGGATGCATGCTGGTAATATGTTGGCATTAGCTCCTGTATTAATTTTAGTTTTCAGGATATATCAATAGCTCAGTAGGATGGAGTCTCAGAACTTTACACCAGTAGGTCACATGCCATGGTACGGTGATGACATCATGTAGATGATATCATCTACTGCGATACATAACACAACAGCGGGTCATCACTCACCATCAATAGCTGCTGTGTGGGTCTTGCCTGCAGAAATGGTTTTGATTTTGTAAATGGCCAGCTGTTTGGACAGAGTCAGTGAGGTCATGTAGGGAACTTCCTGATCAGCCTAGGGAGAGAGGGTCAAGTTATTTACCCACACCCCCAACACAATAGACAGTGTCTAAGCATATTATGTCCCCACACCTTACCCTCCCCCTTCCCGCCCCAGTACAGAAACTGTATCAAAACACCACATGCAGGAGTACAGGAACAATCTGTCCCCACTGCTCATACAGCACAACCCCTACCAAAAAACAATGTGGCCTCAGGTATTCAGTGCCCAACACATTCAAATCCCTCCAATGATCCCACTGGTTCTCCAGAAGGTTAAGCCAATTTTTCGGGCCTGTCCTCAGGGGCACCAGCCAGGTTTCACCAGGGCAGGAGCCTGGCTACTCAACAATGGAGCTAAACAAGGCTTTCAGTCTAAGCTTGATCCCAATCATGGTCCTGCTGAGTAAAAATCTATTAATTTCATTATCGACACCTAACAATCTCAGCCTTTTGAAGCAGAAGGTTCTAGATATCCACTTCACTTTTTCTGAAGAATTGTTTCCTAACATCCGTCCAAACAAACTTATAAAGTTTCGTGTTTTGCCCCTTCGTTCTGGACTACCCCCGAAAGAGAAAACAGCTTCTATCCGTCCTTGAGTTAGCTTGAACACCTCAATTCAATTACCCAGTAATCTTCAGGGCTATGGTTAATTCTGATTGATTTGGGCTGTGATCAGGACTCACTTTGATTGGGTGTTTGCGAAGACCTCGCATGTAGTGGTTGAGTCCGAGCTTGTTATACTCGTTGTTACCACACGCCAACACCTTGCCACTCTGAGTTATGAAGAAAGTCCCATCAGAGCCACATTGCACTGACACAATGCTCAGGCTCACTGGCAGGTCAACCTGGAATCATCAGAAGAACACATTAACTAGCATTCCTAGCATCATTGATCATAAACTTAACAATCAACAGAAACCCAACCGTCATTGACCAGAAACCCAACTGTCACTGACCTGAAACCCAACTGTCACTGACCTGAAACCCAACTGTCACTGACCTGAAACCCAACCGCATTCACCCTCAGAAAGTATATAACAAATACTTGAGGAGCAAAGGCTCTCCTTCAAGGGCTGCAGATTTAATGCAAAGAGTTCCAAAGCTACTCAGCTCTTAACCATTCACCCCAGACACCCTCCTGCACCCTCCCACATTCCCCTACCCTGCACCTTCCCATTACCCATCACCCTACAGCCTCCGTGATCTAACTGCCTCCGACTTCCGATGTCCCAGTGTCCTGTACCGTCCTGCAGCCTGCTGTCCTGTGTGTACCCATCCCAAAAACAGCAGCCTTGTACTGAGCACCTCTTTTCCTCCCCACCACGTCCCCGCTACTTTCTGCTTGCCACTCACCCTCCACAGTCCCTTTCTTTGCCCCTTCCACTGAGCTGGTCCCAATCCCACCCTGAATCATTCCTTTACTCTTCCCATTTCTCCTTGGTTTGTGAGGACTCACGCGTTCTGGGTATTTGTAATCCTCCTCTGAATCCAGCCCCAAGCGCCCTGGAACCAACAAACAAAATCAAGATGAAGTGCAGAGAAAGTTGTTCCCACTCATCTTGAAATACAAGTGGAACCCTGTCAGCCTTAATACTCATTCACAAAGATTAAACGAACGTTAATCTTTCTCTCACTTACTGGAATACAAAACCAATGAGCTGAGGCTAAACTGCATCAAACTCCTTCATTTCCATCCAGGCTAACTGGGCCCAGTTCTAGGTAATACTCCTGGCTGGGAGGAGGAGGAGCAGAGATTTTTCAAAATCAAAAAAAACCAAAGAACTGCAGATGCTGGAAATCCTAAACAAGAACAGTAGCTACTGGGAAAACTCAGCAGGTCTGGCAACAACTGTGGAGAGAAAGCAGAGTTAACGTTTCAGGTCCAGTGACCCTTCAGACCAGAATCATACTGGGGCTCAAAAATTAAATAATGAGGTCAAACTGTACTGAGTAGGTCTGCAATTCCTCTAACACTAATCAATTACGTGCACTGTATTTGGGGTTGAGGTTGGTTGGCTCGCCGAGCTGGTTTGTTGTTCTGCAGACATTCCGTTACCGTGCTTGGTAACATCCTCAGTGCAGCCTCTGCTGAAGCGTCGGTGTGTTTTCCCGCCTAGTTTTAAACTCTGGGGTCCGTTGCGATGGATTGCCTCACTTCCGGGTTTCCTCCGTAGTGGAATGTATACGGGGTCGAGTTCAATGTGTTTATTAATAGCATGCTTCGTGGAGTGCCATGCTT